TTCACCAAACACCCACCACAATCACCCACCCACACCAACCCTTCTTATCTCGTTAAACATGTCGGACATCCTCATCCCGATCTGCGAGCCCTCCGCATCCCTCCCCCCGTCCTCGACGACCACCTCTGCCTCGAGGCCGAGGTCCGGCTCCCTCCGGGACCGCTGCGGCTTCACCCACTACATCTCCTTCGCCCCTGCGTTCCCCAACATCCGCGCGAAAGGCGATATCGGGCCCACTGCGGGGAATATCCCCCGCAGACGCAAGCGCAGCAGCGTCGCCTCCATCGACATACCCGCTGCCCCTGCCCCTGTCTTAGCGGACGCGAGCGCGGAGCCCATGGAGTATTTCGCGATCGCTGCGTAGGTGGAGCCGAGAAGGGAACCTTGGAGAGAATGACGCTGGCGCGAACGCAATTATGGTGGGTTCTTTTGTTACCTTTGTTTGATGTTGTCCTGACGGCATTAGCTAGTAGCGCCCAACCGTCAACAGCCGCGAGGTCTCATTGTGGATTATCCGCCAGAGTCACGCATTTACTGTCGACGATTAGCGAAGGCGGCGAGTGTATTTATGCTCAGCGCATTCGGCTTCAGCCGTTGTTGCACCATACCCATATATAACCACGACGATGAGTCGAGAATGTATATCATCGATCCGTCAATTATTTCACGTCGTCCTTGAGAAATTCAGTCAACATTTTCTACCCATACAAGATAAAAAGGGAAATGCGCACCATAAATCAATCCGATTCAACCGCATAAGTCGCCTCCAACGCCCACGCAAATCTCCCATCCGCAAGCGCTCCCTCCGGGATACTCACCACAAGTTGCCCCGTACCCGCGTCAACCGTCCACGGCACCTCCACACCCCCGCTCGGCCTCAGAAGCCGCAGGCTATCGCCCGGCAGCAGCGGCACGCGTTTATTGATTACCAGCTGTCCGTTCGCCGGCGGGGCAAAGGCGACGATGCAGAAGGTTGTTGGTGTCGTGAGGAAGCGCACCGCCGGCGCGCCTGGGGGCGGGTTGGCATCTTGCGAGCCGGGGAACCAGTAGTTCTGCGAGGTGCGTTAGTGGGGGTGCTTCAGGACGTGGAGACAGAGGGCGAGCGAACCGTATCGTAGATACAGCTCCCCGAGTAGTCCAGCCATGCACCGGTGTCGAGCAGTCCCTCCATCATAGCCTCGATGATCTCCCCCTCTGCCGTGGGTCCAATATCGAGCAGGCTGTGGTGCAGATCGGTCGGAGAGAGATACTTAAAGCAACATGGATACTCACAAATTCCCGTTCTTCGACACGATATCCACCAGCGTCTGCACGATCGTCGTGGCATTCTTGTATTGGCTCGCGTTCGTCACGGCGTTGAGCCCATACGAGAAGGGGTCCATGCCCTCGGAGGACTCCCAGCTCGTCGGCTGGATCGACCCAAACGTCGCGTACTCGGGCGTCTCGAAGTCCGGGACGTTGCCGCATCCTGCAGATGTCGCGCATTAACATTGACTAAATTAAACACCCGGCGAGGGAGAGAAGAGAAGCGAACGCACGGTTATTCATCGTGACCTGCCTCCCCTGCAGCTGCGCGTGGTTGTAGAACTGCGCCGCAAACTCGAGCGTCCTGTTCGGCCCGCCGATATCGCACCACTGTCCCGAATTAATTAGCCCTTTGCACAAAGAAAGACGACAAGACAGAGAGACGCACCATAATCTCCGTATCATATTTCGTCGCCAGCTCGAGCATATGCGGGAGCTGCAGGTCATCGATGTAGTCCCCGAGCGGTAGCGCACCAGTGTACGACTGTACCAACGACGCGTTGAACGCGTCGCGCGCGACGCCGCCAGGCCACTGCCCGAAACCATATTTCGCGTAGTCGGGGTTGAACCTTAGCATCTCAAATGAGCATGGAGGAGTCCGAGCAAGGGGCGACAGCGCGACACACCATTCCGGAAGCGAGTAATACGTCCCGCGGTGGAGGCCCGGCGCCTGCTTTTTAGCGGTGTCGAGCAGCTCGGCGACGAGATCGCGCTTGGGCCCGAAGTGCACGCTGCTCCGCTGCGTTGTGTTACCCGTGTCGAAGAGCGAGAAGCCGTCGTGGTGTTTCTGTGTCCATAGCATATCGTCAGCACTGATACCAAGTGCCCGAGCGAAATGAAGGTCTGAACGAAACGCACCGTAACCACCACGAAATACTTCGCCCCTGCTTTCTCAAACAAGCTTACCCATTTCCCCGCATCGAATGCGCTCGCGGTGAAGTTCGCGATGAAATCCTCGTATGAGACGGTGGGACCGTAGGTGTCGAGGTGGTGTTCCCATGTGGGGCCGGTGGCGTTGGCGGGGTTACGGAGGTACCAGTCGTACCATTCTGCGTACATTTTGGGCGGGCCCTGTAGTAAGAGGAGGGGTGAAGCGAGAGTAAGGAGTGGGAAGGAGAGGGGAGAGGGGAGAGAGGAGACGTACCCACGCAGGAACACTGTACACGCCCCAGTGGATACTACACAGTGCCACATCGATATTAGTTCAACCCTCGCGAGTACCATCAGACACGCACAAGATCCCGAACTTCGCGCCGTTCCACTATACACACCACGTCAGTCGTCTATACCCAGAGATAGCATGCCACGAAGACCCACCCACGTCGGCGTCTCATGCCGCTCCAGCACCTCCTTCTCCGCCGTCCAGCTCTCCACAAGCGGCGCCATTGCCCACCCCGCTGAGCTTAGCACCACCTGCCCCCGCGCGTCGCGCACCACCACCGTCGCTGTCCCGCCACCAGCGCTGTTCGCATTCGTATTGGCAACCAAGACGTCCACGCGCGCCTGGTCCCCCGGCACGAGCCGCTGCACCACGCCCCGCGAGAGCGTCGTGAGGCCGGGGCCGATGAGCTCGATCGTGTGTGGGGTGGTGATCGCGAGTGCCGCGCTGGTGTTTTCGGTGGAGGTGGAGGTGAGGGAAGAAAAGGCAGCGGAGGGCAGCATATTTGCGAGCGTCACCTCGACCGCCTGCGCGCGCGCGCCGCGCACGGTGTCCCAGCGCGTCGTGAAGCGCGCACGGCGGATCGCGAGGGGCGGACTCGCATTTGCATTACCCGGCGCGTCTGCTTCTGTGGTGTTGTTGCTCGCTGACGTGTCTGCGTCAGTGGACGCCGGAGCGAAAGGTACAGCAGACGCCGCAGTAGAGGTCGAAGTGGCGGATGTGGAGGGCGACACCGCCATGGCAAACAGATGCAGGCGGTGCGCGGTGCTGAGCGGTGGGAGCGTGATGCTCGTAAGCGGCTGCTCGGACGGTATGGCGGTGGACCATTGGTAGATTTGGCTGGCGTTGAAGTTTTTCTGCGCGCCGTTGGCGATGAAGCTGTATGGTCTGCGGGGTGAAAATGAGTCAGTTATTGCATCGCAGAGATCTGAGAATGAGCGAAAGAGAGGATGAAGCAGAAGAGAGGAGGGGCGAAGGGAAGGGAAGGACGTACGTGCGGATAACACCCCAATTGAGAATCGGCCAGCGCCACCAGTTTTTGGCATATACTAAAGATACGTGTTAGAGCATCAGGAAGTATGCACGGGAAAAAGACATACGCTGAAGCTGCTGTGTACTGTTGTCGGCAAAGTTCAGCACAAAGTTTGCAACGAACTCATGTGCGCCTAAATCCGCCATTAAGTATTCGATTGCAGTGAAAGGCAGAAGAGATACGCACTTCCGGAGGCGTCTCCCGAATACACCATGTGCAGCTCATGCACGTAGGTGGGTGTGTCGAGCCGGAGAACTTGCCCGTTTGCAACGACGTTATCGTTCCCTTCGCCCCAGGTCTTCGGGAAATCGTACTGCAGGAAGAGCTCAGCATAAAGATGTGGGTCAAGATAGTGCTTCGGCCCACCGTAATTCCGTCGTAAACCCACGGCCCGGGAGGCAAGTATTGACTGTCGAAACTGGCGCCATGCGCGTCGAAATCAGCCGAACCATCCGCGGACGCCGCCTGATTGTCGAAGAGAGAAGAGAGGGCGAGAGATACAGACAGATATTGTGAGGCCGTTACAGCAACGGAGACGAATGGGAGGCAGCTCAGTATCACCGCAGAGGAGTACCTCATCTTGGGGATGCCTGTGGCGGCCGTATGTCATATTGTCCGGTATATATGTGGAGTCGGCGGTGACATCGATGCAGAGGTACTGGACCTGGTGATCCAAGAGCGCGTTACAGAAGGCCGGCCGCCTACCGCCACTGTAGAGGCACGGCTTTCGGCGGGCCGTCAGAGAACTTGGAAGAAGAAACAGTCGGTCATGGGGCCGAGTGTTTCACCGAGAAAGATCGGGAAGAATTACTCCAGAGTCAAGTCCAAGTTAGCGCGCCGACTGTCAGTTGTCTTCGAGCTGGAGAGAAAATTGAAAAATTGGTCAGAACGCGAAACGCGTGAACTGACACGTGAATGTTCATCAAACGCCTGCGCAAACAATACGTACGCGATCGTGGTCCGTGCGTAGTTTGGCGGTATAAAAGCACGCTTTCTTCGTCTGTGCAACTCATACTTACCTTGATGGCACAGGCCCCTTCACCTCCCTGGGTCTGTGGGCCGTGGGAACACTCCATAGCACGGCGACCCTGTCCATACAGAGTGCGCCTGCGGCTTGTATGTGCTTAGGTGCATGCACCGTCTCAATATTTTCCCGTTCCACCACGGCCACTCGGCTTGGTGGACCATTTTTTTCGATCTTCCGCCAGCCTAACCCTAACCTTAATTACATCACAATATATCGCTTTGACCGGCCGTATTTAGCAGCTTGTACACTTGTCCGTGTATACCGATCAAACAGGTCAGCCGTTCGGGAACTTTTACCGATACGGCATTGAATGTCTTGTCCATTGCATGATTCCGACCTCGTATTTTCACCTTGACAAGGAAACTCATGAACGGTATGTATAGCTGCTGAGTTTCGGCTATCGCATATTGGAAGACCAACCTTCTTGTCATAGGGAAGGGGTGAGAGAGGACAACATAAAATCGCACACTGTTGTCGGCCGTCTAGCTCAGTTGGTTAGCGTGGTGCTAATAACACGAGGCATCAGCTCAGGTTTTGGGTTCGACCCCCGTGATGGCCATGGTATTCATCGAAAACATTTTTGCTGTACCCCCTACCCTACCTGCCGCAGCAGACCAGCTGTTGGTCGTATTTACCTCCAATCGCAGTTCCTTTGTTTGATCGGCTATCCCCAACATCTTGGTTTCTTTTTTTCGGTCAGTAGGCTGATTTATGAACGCCACGGTATTGAGTAATTAGACGGAAGTGGAATGGGGTACGATTCGAGTTGCAGAGTTCACACAACAATATCTAGGAGAAAGTCGCGTCGCTCCCTGTTTCCTTTCCACTGCATTTCTTCGGAAGGAGGTGCAGTTGCAGTACTTGTTCGGTCCATATTGCTGTCTCTCTTTCCAATGCCTCATGGTCGACGTACCAAACTTGAACAGTAACTTTTGGACCCACACGCGGACATTCTGCCACCACGAAGAGAAGGACCCGAAATTTGGCACCTAATCAGATGTTGCTCGCACCCTTGCTATGCCTCCGGCTCCAGTGCCTGACTACTGAACCGGTACCAGACGATGATCTCTTCGCAATCGTTCTCTGCACGAAAGGGCCATACATCGAAGGCCTCCAGGCCGGAACAGAATACCGGTACCTCTCGGATTTCGCACTTCAAGGATTGCGCAGTGTCTCAAACACCTGGACATTACCAAAACTCAATTGTACGCGCACTTGGAGATTTGAAGCGGTCCGACGTATTCTCCGTTTGAAGGGACAGGATGAGCTTGAAGTATAGGATTTCTTTTGTACGGCGCAGCTGGAATTTAAAACCGCCATCTTTTTCGCGCTGTCCTTTTCAACGCCAGCTGGTGCGTGAAAACGCACAACAGCGAAAGATGATGTGCTTACAATGCTGACTGTCCGGACATCTATTACGCTGCCATTTATTGGAGCTCCAGCACCAAAGCCCCATGAACTTCACTCAATACTCGATAGTAAATCAGCTGCCCCGCCTCCCCTGGCGCCGCACCCTCCGATGGGAGGAATAGCCCCACCACAATCGCCTCCTCCCCCTGCGGCGAAGTAATGCGGCTGATCGACGGATTCGCAAACGCTGTGCTGCCGCCTGCGGTGATGACATTCACGCGTACCGCCGCCCCCGTCGAGAAGTCGTACAGGTACGTCCGCCACGAGCCAAAGTCGCCGAACGTGAACTGGCCCTCGATCACCTGGAAACGGAATCGTTCTCCCTCGTCAACCCCGAATCCAAGGAGCGGGTCACGGTCTCCGATATTGCCCGCGACGCCCCACGCCTCAATCGCCGCGTCGACATCGGGCTTGGGCTCGGTGACCCAGCGTGTGAAGTCCGTGAGGGTGCCCCGCTGCTGCCGGTCGACTTTGCAGTCGCGGAAGTAGTGCCCGCCGATATCGATGAAGCTGTGGTCAATATCCGGTCGCAGCTCGACGGTGTAGATACTCGGCGTGCCCTCTGCGCAGGGCGACAGCGTCTGCGGCGCGTCAAACGCGCGCGTGGCGTTGGCAGCGAGGAGGTGCGCCCGGTCGGGGAAGTACCGCACAGCGATGTGGTTCGCGGGCTCCTGTTCCCAGGCGACGACGTACCCCGCGCGGCCGTCGTTCACGGCAAAGATGGTGGGCTGGCTGGTTCCCACGCCGAACCCCGCGGCCCAGGAGAAGGTACGGAGATCGGTGGAGGTGGCGATGGAAGCGTGGAACTGGTTATCTGCGGGCAGGAGGGTGTGGTAGAGTGCCAGGTAGTCATCCTCGAGAGTCTGGATGATTTTAGCGGTGTCCATGGACTGTCCGAGGCTATCTCGTGCGCCATATACGACACCGTTGGCGGCAGTGACCTCCGTAATCAAGCTGAGGAGTTGATCTTTGGCGCTGGAGCTGGAAGCGGAGCAGAGCCCAGTTGCAAGCATCAAGCTGAGTGGGAGAGACCATCGTGCCATAATCACGCTGGAAGTGCACAGAAGGAGCTTTGACGGAGTGTGTTATATGTAGAAAAAGCCGGAGAAGCGTCCAAGGACAGGCGTATATATACGGGATCAGGTGGTGTTTTGAACGGACCACAGAGCGCGCGGAATGTGGAACGGGTATTTTCCGAGCGCCCCGTTCTTGTATTCAGACCAGAGGACCGTGGGCGGTGAAGCGCCGTGAAGGTAGGAAGCAAGCGCGAGGGTGCATCAATGCCATCAATGATTCGATGGCTGTTCTTCATGATGTCAACCTCGAGCCCGGACGACGGTTCGCATGGATAGTTGTGCCGACTGCTACTGGACGTCCGACTGCTTTTGGCTGAACGGCCTGGGCCGTGGCAAGCGTACAATCTGGTCAATGGTCCCGGATTCCTTGCGAGACTCGGCGACTCTTCTAAGGTCGATTTTTTTTCCGAGCATCTCGCTGCCATGAAGATCTCTTCTCCCGACGGCCCTGCACAGCTGTATTGCATACGTCGACCACGGAACGCGGCGCTTCACTTCTGCCGCAGAAGTTACAGCTGTTTCGAGAAAATTGTCCGGTTTTTGATCAAGTGGTGCTGCTCGATTTTTAGTTACCTTTGATTGCTCTCGAGTCCTTGCCGACATTGCACTCCACTTTCTATATTTATCTAACTATGCCCTCAACTTTTTCAACTGTACTGGTGCAGATCCTGAGGTTGAGGGCATATCATGTTGAATTAAGTCACAATTGTGGAACAGGCAATGCATTAGATGCCTTTTCTCGCTCGAGACATGTGTGTTATTGCCCATGTTGTGTGGAGCTGAGGTAAATCAAGAGCAATCAGAGGTAAACAAAAATCGAGCAACACCACTCGATCAAAAACCGGACAATTTTCTCAAAACAGCTGTAACCCCTGTGCTTTTTGACGGAAATGATTACCATGTCTTCTCTTGAAGCCCGACTTTCTGACGGAAAGTCTGTTATATTCTGGCTATGAAGCCTCATTCTCAATCAATTCTATCCTCCTCCCAAATAATCACTGGGCCACAAATTTCTCATCGGCTTCTCGACGACTGATCTCTTGTTGCGTTCCGCAGAGGGTTGCTCACCAAAATCTCCGACCGGGTGGCCATCATCTCACTATTTATTAACGGTTGTCTACCACGGGACCAGCCTCATGTCTCTCGTTAACACTGTTGCACTGCTTCCGACTCCGTTTCACAGGCTACGGCAGACGCATCTGTTTCGAGCCTATTTCCGTCAACGTCTAGTCGCACGCTCTTTGACCTTCCCTTTCACCATGTCGATAAGGCGAAACACATCCCGGGAAAGAGAAACCGGCGCTCTGCATCTTGCTCTTATGGCTCGATCAGCCACTCACGACTGGCTTGCCAATATGATCCTTGGAGTCAAAACGATTGCGGCAGGAGCCGAATTCATCCCCGTGCCATACATTCGTGCGGCATTCGGTACCGTGGTCATTTTTCTGGATACAGTGGACGTTAGTTGGATAATATGCCTCTGTAAGTTCCTGGCTCACGACAGCACAGAAAATGAAGAAAAATCGGGACGATTTGCTGGACTTGTGCGAAAGCATCGTCGAAATCGTCCATTTACTTGAAGCTGAAGTTTTGGCACATGGGGATGTGGCAGGTGTGCGGTTCATGGGACTATGTGAGGATTTCATTGCGTGAGCCTTCCGATATAAGACAGAAGTAAGAGGCTGGCTGACTTTGTTCGTCCCAAGCTTCCTGCGCATTCTTCAGACCGGGCTGGAAAAGATCGCGCGAAGTCAAGCAGGATTTCGGGGACGTTTCAAAGAATTCCTGCGAGCCACAACCGTAGCCGACCAGCTGGAACGATATAGAAACCGGGTTAACGAATTGCGTTCTAACTTCCTCGTATGTGTGTTTCTTAGTAGCCTTCTTCGCCGATCAAACTGAAGTCAATCTTCATAGCTCATCGCAACGATAGACACCAACCTCAGCGTGGCGAGGATTCAAAATAGTGTGGCTACTGCCCAAGAAGACTCTCCTTTGGGACACTTTCATCAATTTCGCCGCATCGCATTGGGCGAAATCAATCTTCTCTACGAGACCGGCATGTCGAACAAGGTGCACAAAGTCAAAGTTTTTACCGCTCGCATATCAGGGGAAGCATCTCTGATGACTGTTGCAAAATATGAAGACCGAAACGAGGCAAGTCTGTTCGTATACATGTTGCTTGATCTTAAGTTTCGGCATAGAGGTGGAAATCAGACTTGGAACTGTATTCTCGCTTGAGGTGATTTTCTTTGGGGAGGGAAAGGTTCGTACCTCACGAAAGAACCAGGCACCCAAATGTGTGGCAATTATTTGGCTTTGCCACCGCTCCTGGATTGCATGCTTTGATTTATCATGACGGTATGCACATGCTTGGCCGTATGTCTACTTCTTGACAACACAGTGCACAGAATTAATACCCCTGCAAATCTACCGCCGAATTCACCGACCCTTGTCCGATTCGGTCTGGGCCTGCATGGAAGGAATGCTGGTGCGGTCGCTTTATGTTTCCACATGCAGAAATTTGACTCGGTGGCGGCCCATCCAAAGTTTGCGCAGTTCAGAGTGAGCGGCCAGTTCCTTGCGACCGCTTAAAAGTTCACGATGACTTCTAGGAGTCATCTCAGTATCACTACTGGGACACGGACGCAAACCAAAACCAGGTCTGCACTTAGTTAACTGCGCCCAATCCGACGCACTGGACGGACAGCCATCAAACAGAACCTCAAAGCCGCAATTTGCGTCAAAAGAAAACCGACGCGGCTATGTCTGACGATGCCACTCCTGGGCAACGCCGAAGACGACGTCGACCGCGAAGACGATGATGACCACCAGTTATCCTCATGGCACAATAGCCTTTTCAAGGATCATAACATTACGACAGACGCTAGTACGATTTCAAATATTTTGGCAAGTAATAGCTCTTCGACCGATGCAACACTGTCCAGCACGTTGGCTAGGAGTATCGGCTGGAAGCACTTCTTTGCGGCACTGGTTCCCGTCCGGTATTTGATAAAAACCCCTTGGAAGACGCTGAAGCGACTGTTCTTGGGTTCTGTCGTCGTTCAGAGAT